GCTCAGAGAGCACCAAGGACCACACAGTTCAACCCTGAGCTACTAATATTATCTTCTACTGGTTATCATTTAAATGGGGCAGGCATTCCCCCCCACCGCCAAAGAAATATCTTCACCTAGCTACCTGTAGCCAAAGGCGTAATAACAAGGATGCACTCCAAATGCTGACAACCTTTGAAGCGGTGCAGTTTCACAATAAGCTGGGAAACGACACACAAAGCCTTTCCCCGCCTCTCCACTCCCTCAGTCATGGGGAGAGGCAGGTATTGTCATCCCATTAGCTGATATAACCAGTGCCGAAAATGGATCCTTCGGCCTCTTTGCAACTGGCTGAAACGGGTTTTTCAGAACATGGCGTGCTGCTGAACTTTGCTCTCTCCCACTTTCTTTGCAATAATAATTTCCCTGGCGAGACCACCAAGCTCGGAGGGCACCAAGGACTCCCTTCACTTCGTCTCCGAGCTAAAAAACATTAGCCTCCGTTGGTCCTGGGGGAACAGAGGACTAAGCTGCGCTGCAACGAGACGAGCGGCCCACCTTTCCATGCCACAACCTCACGATGAAGAAGCCGAACGCACGGAGGGCAAGGCTTGTCCCTTTTGTCTTTCGGATGCTGTGACCTCCGCCCCCCGTTTGTCATCCCACCCCCCTCCCCCCCCAAAAAACCCCCTCCCCTCTGAGCACCGGCCTTTGCTGATCCTGACCTTGAGAAGCACTGTCTTTGTCCGCATCCTTAAAGCATCCAGAACGATGCAAATACGTTACGGACCCGTTAGTTGGGTTGCAAGCATCGGTTATGCTGGGAGAAACGAAAACGAAACGAAGAGAGGGAGGAAGGGTGGGGGAGGGGGTGGAAATCTTACTTTTGATGGGTCGTCGCAGGTGGCTGGCTGAAAGGAGCCTGGCTAAACCCCCCAGGTCCACCTAGGTTGGTGCCCTGAAAGAAAAGACATCACTGGAAGGGGTTACTTAGACCAGAGTCTTCATGTTTGAATGACAAGGTGACCCTGCGAGCGTTCAGGGGCTGTGGGATACTTGGGGTGGATGGGGGACGTGGTCAGCTATGGACCCAGGGGCTCTTGCGGTCGGGGGCGGCTGAAAATTCAGTCCTTTCCCACCGTCGGGAAAGACACAAAAATGGTAGAACCAGGTTCAAATGGGCATCGGTTGGCTATTTCTTGGTTTTCTTTAAGTGGTACCATGGTTTAGTGGTGAAGGTGCTGGGTTAGAAAGCAGGTAACTGGGTTCTGGTATCTAGGAGACGGGGAGTTCTAGTCCTGCCTTAGGCATGAAAGCCAATTGGGTGACTTTGGGCCAATCACTAGGAGACGGTGAGTTCTAGTCTCACCTAAGCTCTGAAAGTCAGCTGAGTGATTTGGGTCAATCTGTCCGGCCCAACCCACCTCACAGGGTTGTTGTTTGTGGGGTGTGGGAAACAGGAGGAAGAGAGAGGATTAGGTAAGTAAGCCACCTTGAGTTAATTTATAGAAATAGTCAAGGTGGGAATGAATGAATGAAGGTTTGCTTTTTTTAGCTGATGGTTCTGACAAGCATGGGCTTCTCCTGCGCCTCCCATTTAGAAATGCAGCCCCAATGCCTTTGCAGGTGATGGGTATGAAATAAATATTCCCATTTGCCCAGGAAACCCGTTGAATTCGCGGGAGAACCCAGGGGCCATTTCCCAACGCCTTCCAAGCATCCCGCAACGGCCAACCTGTACCCCATTTGAGGGGGGAGGGAGGTGCTTTGGGGTGGGGGGGTGGGGGGGCCTGCATCGCCCAAGCTGGCCTGAGACCGTGAAAGGCACGACAGGACTTACTCCCACTTTCTCATCGATCAAGTGCCTGGCGAGCTCGATCTGCTGGGGCACTCCCCGGATGGTGAATATCCGAATGTTCGGGTCCGTGTTGGGAGGAGGGTTTCGCTGGAGCTCCACGTGTGCCCCCGATTGCTGGTTTATGCCCTTGATGTTCTCTCCTCCTGCAAAGGGGAAGGAGGCGTTGGGTGAGAGAGCTCGGGCCTGGAAGGTTGTATGCCTTTCCCCACATTCATCGTGCAGCGCCCCCCCCCCGCCCCCGGGGGACCGCCACGACGAGAGGTCTACGTTTCCAAAGGACGACATCTACTCGGTGTGGCTGTTTTTGAGGAGCTTCTTTCCGGTAGACGCCATCATGGTTTGTTTGTGGTGGACTACAGTCCAGAGCCCCAGGAGGGAGGGGCGCGGGGGGGGGGGCTTTCCCAAAGAGCAAAGAGACAAGTAAGCTTGGCTTTTGGGGGGCAGGCAGGGAAAGGGCGAAGGGGGGCCCTCCCTAGCAACTCACAGAGGTCTCCGAACTCGGCAACTTTTAAGACTTGTGGACTTCAACTTGGGTGGATGAGGAATTCTGGGAGCTGAAGTCCGCAAGTCTTAAAAGTTGCTGAGTTTGGAGACCTCTGTGAGTTGCTAGGGAGGGCCCTCCTTCGCCCTTTCCCTGCTGGAAGGGATCTTGGGAGGTCTTCTAGTCCAGCCTCCTTATACCATCCCAGACAAGTCTTTTCCTGAACACTTCCTAGTGCTGGAGTCTCCTCCTCCTCCTCCTCTTCTTCCTCCTCTCTACAAACCCACTCCCTCCTACCCCTGATGCTACAACATAGTTGGGTACCGAAACGCCTGCAAGAAAAACCACCAAGCTCAGAGACCACCAAGGACCCCACCAACCCAGAGCTGCAATTACTCCTTCTGAAGCTCAGCCTCTTGTTCAAAGCCCCTAAAACGCATTACTTCACGAAGGCTAAACTCTTGGCCACAATATAAAACATTCCCCGTGCAAGAACAGCCATTCAACAGCCCCGTCCCAACAAGTGCATTTTATTTTTTATTTTATTATGTACCCGACTTATCTCGCCAGGAAGCAAGACGCAAACCAAACAAGATCGCCATTAAGCCTCCTGCCAAATTGCAGTATTCCCACAACTCGGGGACCGAGCATTGGATTTGTCGGTCAACAAATGCACACACACACACACACACACACCCGCTGCCTTGTAAGCAGAATTTCTGTCGCCGATTCCCCGCAGGGCTCTCCAGAATTAGGCAGGGCTGGTGGGAAGCCCCTGGCTGCCAACGCTTGGGAGAACAAGAACAGGCCCCGACAAGGAAAGGCTCATAGAAAGACGGAGCACGACTAATGAAAATTTAGCTCCAAAAGGGAACAAGACACCCAAAGATACAGAGATATATAGAGATATATACCCGGAGGGAGGGTTTCGGTCTCGCTTGTCTTCATGAAATTTGCTTAACAAAGGATTCCTCCACGGGCTCACAATGGCTCGATTCTTAGGCTGGAAACGGGGGGAAGATGCCTGACCCTCCTCCTGACTGGCCAGAAACCAAAGGTGAAGGGGAGAAGGACCAATTAGTTCAGCATCGGACAACGTTGGCTCTAGGCAGGCCAACACGCCCCCTTTTTGCAACAGGTGCGGGAGGAGGCGCTTTGAAAAAGCTTCCCAGTCTGATCTGGGTTGCAGAAAACCTGCGGAAACTTTGCCAAGTCCGAAGCAATGAGGGTTTGTTTTCAAAAAAGCAACCACAACCCAGGAATGGTGGGGTAGGCAGGATAAAAACCAGGAGACTGTGACTTCTAGTGTGTCAGGGTTAAGTTCATGAACTGGAATAGAGCATTGTAATAAGGTCAGCCAATGCATAGGCACAGCAACTGAGTCAGCCAATGAGGACTGTTTGGAAACTGAAACTAGACGTAGCCCAGGCGTGGCTCCATACTAAGCTCTGCAGCTCTGTTAAGCTCTGAGTCTGTCTATTGAAAATGAAACTGCTTCTCCTCTGCTGTGTGTCTTGCTTGCCTGCTGAACTAAAGTGAAATTGATTTCTGAGCTCCTGAGCTCCTGCTGTTCTGCTCTGAACCTGTAACATGTCTGCTCCTGTTTGAGTTTGCTCCATGTTGGAGAAATCTACAACTGGTATTGTAAAAGTTACTTTAGATGTTTATAAAGAAGTTAAATGAAGCCTCAACCACCTGCATTTACTTTTCTGGCACTGAATTGACGCTGCAATACTCTGAACATAGTGCTGCCTTGGGAGTGAAAAACGATGGTAACTTTGGGCCAATCGCCAGGAGATGGTGAATTCTAGTACTGTCCTGGGCATGATAATCGATTGGGTGACTTTGGGCCAATCACTAGGAGATGGTGAGTTCTAGTCCTGCTTTAGGCATGAAAGTTGGTCGGGTGATTTTGGGCCAATCACTAGGAGATGGTGAGTTCTAGTCCTGCATTAGCCATATAAAAGCCAGCTGGGTGACTCTGGGCCAATCACCAGGAGATGGTGAGTTCTAGTCCCGCCTTATTCATGAAAGACAATGGGTGACTTGGGCTAATTACCAGGAGACGGGGAGTTCTAGTCCTCCTCCTCTTTGAGCTCAATATTTCTGTTGTTAAGTGAGGCCCCATTTTATGACCTTATTTGCCATAGAATCACTGCAGTCATTCAGTAACACGGTTGCTAAGTGAATCCCTTGGCCAAGTGTGATTGGATGAACATAAGTCGCCTTTTTCAGGGCTGTTTGCAACTTTGAGAGGACACTAAATGGGCACCGTTGTAAGCCAAGGACGACCTGTATGCCCGTCCTTTCTTCCCTGATCAGTGCAGAGGGACACAATTCAATTCATGTTGCTAATTTCTGTGCAAGATCCACTGAACTGTGTTTAATGTCGCATTTTTTACATTTTACGTAGCCCAGTGTGATTGTGAGGCGGTTTTTGGTTGCAGGAGGGGCGGGTCTGAGTCGGACCTAACGGAGGAATTTCGGGGACGGCTTCCAAGTTTCACACGGTAGTCGGCTCACGTCGGAAGAGAGGACAATATCAATTCCAGCCTCTCCAAGCAGAGTCCTCTCCATCCCTCGGCCAAAGACTGGAGGGCCGAAGGGGGGGAAAAGAAAAGAGAGAGAGAGAGAGAGAGAGAGAGAGAGAACAAGCCAAGATCGGTTCCCCAAAGCGTTCGCCCCCTTTTCACAAAAGCCAGTCACCTGCTTAACACATGGGGCTTGTCTGCAGACGGCTATTCAAAAGAGGGGCTGCTTTTCTTCGAGCAGGGGGCACGGGGGGGGGGGATAGACGACCGACGGGGGACCCACAGCTGGACGCAAAATCGTAAAGCAATTAATCAAACGAGGCTAAAAAGCCAACGGTGACAGGGAGCAGGCTGTCAAGATGGCTGGGTTTATCATGGAAATACAGCCTCCCTCCAGCCCCCCGGGGGCTCCGAAGAAGAGGCTGCAGTGAGAGCTGTCGGACATGGATGCAAAGGAAACTCTTGACCAGCGAAGGGCCATGGCTCAAGCCTCTCGGCCCCCATTCCCCCCCCCCCCCAATGAAAGTGTCCGTGGAGGACAGCTCCTCCGACTTTTGCGAGCTGTTTTCCAAGGAGACTGGCTCGCTGCTTTCAAGAACTGCAGCGTTTCGCTTAGTGACTGTGGTTAAGAAAGATGCTCGGGAAAGTCGTGGACTGTGGGTAGCGTCAGCCTGCCATTCTGCATGCTAATCGCGGAAGGAAGGGAAGAAGGAAGGTAGGAAAGAAGGAAGGAAATAAATAAATAAGAAAGGAAAGAAATAAGAAAGTTAGGAAAGAAATAAGAAAGTTAGGAAAG